GCTCCAGCTGGTCACCTGGAAGAAAAGTGGTATTTTTCCTCCTGTAGGTGTGCACGTACATGTGTGCACAAAAGGCTGTGCACGTTTGCTATTTAAACGGAAGATGTGTCCAGGAGTCATGGAACAGCAGCACCCAGCTGGCCAAGGGCAGCCCCAGGGTTAAGCTGCCATCGGGCTCTGCAACCCGCGGTGCCGCCAGCGCAGGTCACCGCCGTTTGCCACGGTTCAGTGGCTGCTCTGAAGGCCGAGCACAGAAATCAAACACCAAACCAGACACCGGTTCGTTGCCGTTCCTGCCCCGGGCGGACCCCGCCGGGGGGTCTGTGCCAGCGCAGGCCAGTGGCTGCCAACAGCGGGGGCCCCAGACGCTGCAGCCGCCGGTGGGCGAGGGCGGCGGCGATCGGAGGCCCTTCCGCGTGCCGGCCCTGCCCGGTGCAGCCGCTCTTCCCGCCGGGCCGGGCCGGGCCGGGCCGGGCCGGGCGGGGCGGTGTCGGGGCAGAGGCACCTGCTGGGAAGGGGCAGCGCGGCGCCCACCGCGGCCGTTGCAGGGGCAGCCCTGCCGCCCCTCCCCGTGCCCCGCCGGGCCGTGCCCCGGAGCGACGGCGCCGGGCAGAAGGGGACGCGTCCCGGTGTCCTTGGCGCCGCCGACCTCGCCCGACCAGCCGCCGCCCTCCCTCGCTGCTCCGCTCCCCGAGGCGCTGCCCGCGGGCCGTACCTGTCGCAGGGCGCGCAGTGAGCGGCCCAGCGCGCGGCCGAGGCAGCGGGACCGCCAGAGCGGTACCATCGCGGCGGCGGCGGCGACGGCGGGAGGGGCCGCAGGGCGGACACCGGAACCAGGCCCCGCGCGGCACGGAAGCGCGCGGGGTCGCACCAACCGCCGCAGGACGGGGGGAGCGCGGTCGGAGGGGCGGAACCATCGCGGGGGGGGGGGAGAACAGGGCAGAGGGGCAGGGACAGGGGCAGGGCGGGGGCGGGGGTGTAATAATAATATTCCTACGTATCACCAGATATGTAATAATAATATACATATATAATAGGTATGTACTGCATATATACCTATAAACACATACATTTGTATATATACATATTATTACATGTCATAATATATGTACTTGTAATAATAAATATGATAAATACGTAATGATAAATAATCCTCTGTATTACCAAAGAGTGCCGTTTCATGACACTTTTCATTGAACCGGCTTCGGATTGCTGGAGGGCAGCTGTACCAGTGGTTTTCCTGCTCACCACGGCAAACCATGGGGCTCATGTGGAATGACGTTGCCGCAAGCATCAGCCAGTGGGATGTTGCATGGTTAGAAATGGGCAATGAAGTCATCTCCCTGTGGCAAACTGGCAAATGAGTCGACTAGTAAGCCCTGTTCCTCAGATGTGGTCTGTATGCTGAAAATGTTTGAGAATCCCCCAGCTAGTTTCTGTTTTCTGCCTGCTTCCAGGCAGGGAACCACTGGTGGGAGAAAACCCAATGAACCTATTTGCAGAACCTGAGAATTAGCCTGGGATAGTTATAAAGGGCTGTCTTGCAGCCAGGCATCTCTCAAGGAGCCAAGTCTGGGTTATGCACATGTCCTTAATTTATCCATTGCTTAATAATATATGAATGGTAAACTGCAACCTTCAAAATATGGGATCATTTCCAAAGGAAAGAGGTTGAATAAAAATCAACAGGGGATAGTCCCTGAGGCTTTGAGGATATGCTAACTGCTTTAATAAAAGGCAACTGAACCAGAAAGGCTCTCTGCCAGGGGTTTCTCTGTGATCTGTTTTTTGACCACCTGATGTCAACTGCTTTTAACCACAGCCTCCTGTCTATCCAGTGAATACCCTAAACATTGCCATGCTCAGTAAGCATGTGAAGGCAAAGCAGATGAAGCCCCAGGAGTGGCACATGCGGCCTGGCTTTTGTCCGCCCACCTGCAGCTCCTGCACGAAGTTAAGTGTCTGACAACCACATGTGCCCCTGGGGCAGGTACTTTGTCCTGGGGCTGGTGTTAGGGTGTGCTCAGCTGGGAGGGATACCAGCTCTGCGGGCTGTGGCACTGTCTCTAAAGCACCCTGTGACAACGGACCCTGTATTGCTGCTCTTCCTGTGTTGTCCCACTTCCTGGCCACGTCCTACACTGCAGACCCCCAGTTCAGCCAAAACGCATCTGTGTTCCCATAGTGGGGGACACTGGAAATGCCTGGGCGCTTTCCATGGGAGATGGGTAGCACCTGGGCTTTGGGCCGGCTCCTTCCTTGCCTGTGGCACTGCTTGTCGGTCTGGTGTATTTGCACTGTCTCACCAACGGTTCACCATCCTGGGTCCGGGATGGAGTTTCCAGGCCAAATTGTAGGGGGGAATTGCTCTTCTGGCTCTCTGCCCACTTGGGCAGCCAGTGGCTCAGCAGCAGCCCTTGCCTGTCTGACTCCAGGGGCTATGAGTGTGGGAAATGGCCGAGCGGCAGGGAAGGTGGCTGGACCCTGATGCTGGACCTGACCTCCTGCATGTCCATCTGCATATTCAGAAGTCGTTCCCAGCTGGTTGGCTGCCTCCAGCCTCCCCACTCCCTCTTTAAAGGACCTGAGCACAGCAGGAGGACGCGCTGGCTCTGCAGCATCCCACGGCCCCTGCCTGCGGGACACTGCAGGACACTGTGGGACACTGCTCCCCGTGCCCCTGGAGCCGAGGTGAGTGGGGCGGAGAGGTGCGAGCTGCAAGGGTTGGGGACTGCCGGCTGAAGACAGGGGAATGTGGAGGCTGGGGAAGGCTCGGGGGGGATTTGCAGTGCTGGAGAGGTGGCACGGCTGTCTCGCTGAGGAGCACCCGGGGAGCCCATGTGGGTTGGCTCCAGTTTTGGAGAGGGCACACTTGCCTTCTCTTCTAAGCATCTTCACTTCGTTCCTCAGTCTTTTTCTTCAGGTAAGAGGAGTCTCGGCCACTTTTTAGTGTTCCAGAAGGTGGCACTGGTGAAGACTGGTAGTAAGAGTAGGAACCGAAGCACGCATCTGCTAAGTCGGGCAGGAAAGGGCTGCATCAGCAGGAGCAGTTCGCTTGGGGCAGCACCTCCTGGTCCCTGCGGTGCCAGGGAGGCTGGGAGGGGGAAATGAGGCCACCCACAGCGAGCGGCCACAAGCTGGGACCGCAGGCTCTGCTCCCTCTCTCCCTCCAAATCTCCAGCAGAAAGATGGTGGTGCTGGAAACCTTAAGCAAGTGGAGGGCTCCTTGCCAGCTCTGAGTTGATCTGCTTACAAGGGGTGTATTGCCCCGGGTTCCTGGGGCTGGGAAGCCTCAGCACAGGGGACAGGTAAGCTCCCTGACCTTGCTGTTGAACACACTAGAGGTGAGAAATTGTGAGCAAGTGCCAAAAGGTGTTTCTGTCACAAACCGAGGTAGCAGGACTGGCTGTCTTGTGCCTATGCCTTTGCAGAAAGGCTTAAGGGGGGATGGAGTCTCTGGCTGCAATGTGTTTGCTGTGTGACTTTCTTGGATGCAGCTGGCATGCTAAGTGGCAGCTGCAGGCAGTGGTGAAGCTTGTTACACAAGGGCCAGGTGTGATGCTGAGAGCTGCCGGCAGCCTGGCCTTGCACTGGCCATTGATAAACTGAGCAGTTTGAAAGCCCCCACAACAGACTGTTAGGAAAATGAAATCCTACTGGTCAGGAGGGGTGGGTAGACAACACAGGAGAGCAACAAGTGGTGTCAGATAACCCAGAAGAGACTTGGTTTGTAAAGACTAGAGCTCTGGAAAAGGTAGAGCTCTCCCAGACACCTGCCTGGAATACAGGGCTGGTTGAAGAAAGGCAACCTGCTAAAAAACAGTGAGAAGACATCCATTTTCTACACTGCCTGGAGGACTCGCCGTGGAGCAGACAGTCATGGGGACAGGAGACTGATGGTGTTGAAAATGATCAGACATTTCTGGGTATAGCAAAAGAATCTCAGACTTTAAAGATGTCTGGAAAACACACAAGCTGTCCTAATTCAGTGGTGCAAAGCTACTGCTAATTAATGTGGATGAGAAAGCATCCCAGAGGAACAGTTACTGTGTAATTGCCCAGGATACGAGCTTTTACACCTTCTTTTGCAAGAAGAGCAAGGGAATGTCTGAGTGAGGGAATGAGTGGAGGGGGTGGGTCCCTGAGTGGAGTCAGCATGACAATTTTAAGCCTGGGGCTGCTGGCTCAGTAGTTTTTCTCTTCCCTGATAATCCCCATCCTCATTCCTTTTATTCATTGTTTTGCCAATCACTTAGGAACCCTGTGCTGTGTTAGCCTGAACATCTCAGTGGGTCCCGCTGGCAGCAGGTCACATCACACTTTTACCCTTGCTGTGCCCCTTTCCACCAGCCTCTTTGTGCTGGCCCAGCCCCCCAGTGCAGCCACCATCCCCATGCCCTGGTGGCTCTGCTGGTGGGTGCTGGGGGCTGGCAGAAGCCAGCAGCAACCATGCCCTGGCGTGAATGCCTTCACCAGGGATGCAGCTGCTGTTCTGTGCTCTGTCAGCACCCAGGAGCACCCAAAACCACCTTTGCCCAGGTATATGTGGCAGGGCTCCACCTGGTGCTCACCTCCCTTGTACCTGAGTCCACAAGCCCAGAACGGAGTTTCCTCAAATGCCTCTGGTGTGGATGCAGCTGGCGGTGTGTTGCCAGGCACATATGGGGCCCAAACCAGGTAAAATGTACTCTGGGCACAATGAATGCCTGGCTGGTAGGTGGGAGCTGTGGCAGTGCCCAGGGCATTGCTGCTGTGATGTGACACCCAACAGCCTGCTCATAGGTTTTGCAGTGCCTGGAGGTTTCTGCCTGGGTCATTCCCTGGTGAAATAGTTTTTGCAGGGGAGCAGTGATGCCACAGAAATCCCTGAGGAAAAATATCCTACCATGTGCATGGAGAACTGCTGTATGAGGTCCTGTTTCTTGCTCTTTCTCCAGTTCCACACTACTAGCAGGCTGAAACATCAAACACCTGTGAAGCCTGCTAGTCTGACACTGGAAATGATCCCCAACCAGCTGAAGGTCAGCTCTCCAGTTTCCAGGCAGGAAGACAAAATGGATGGCAGGACTGGCTTTGAGCAGGACAGAGGCCGTGCCACTTCAGGGCATGGCCAGGGGCTGAATTCGGAGCCCTATTTCCAGACTGACTCTCTCTTGCCTTCCTCCAATGCATCCCTCATATCACAGTTCCTCAGCCACCCGATGTTTGGCAGGAGCCTGGATTCCACCCTCCTTTTCCCTTCCTCTCAGGCAGTGGCCCTGCCTCAGGACAAGTGTGGTGCATCTCCTGGAGAAGGAGCACAAGCCCTGCCTTTCCCCAGGACCCGTGCCTCGGCTCCCATGCCCTATGCTAGTGATGGGGACCAGCTCTCCAGCCAGCACCTACGAGCCAAGAGGGCCAGGGTGGAGAGCATCATCCAAGGCATAAGCCTCCCGCCAACCCCTCAGGCATTTGACACCAGCCTGGAGGCAGCTTTTAGGCATGAGAGGGAGAGAGGTGGTGAGATGCCCTGGGAGAACAAGAGAAAGCTGAGGGTGCCCCAGCAGGGCCTGGGGGTGGCTGGACGAGTGGCCCCCATGGGTGGCAGCTCCCATGCCAAGGGCGGCAGCTCCCATGCCAAGGGCTGCCAGCAGCTGAAGGAGCAGCTCTGCTTTTTAGAGCAGCAGCTGAGGTGGCTTCAGGAAAAGTTCTGCCAGGTCTATGACTCTGCGGATGCTGCTCAAACCCAGGAAGATTCCGAGAAAGTGCAGCCACTTCCTGAAAGGCCTAGAGACAGACTGGATAAGGACAGTGCCACTGTCACTGGCAACCCCTGCAAAGCACCTCTCTGGAGGAGCATCTTGGAGGTGTGTAGGCTGGAGGAGGAGGACAAATGTGATGCAGGTGGCCTGCCCACGGCAGTGAGGGTCCTCTCGCAGGCACTGAAGCATGAGCTGGCCGGGGTAACGTCCCAGGTGGTAGACTCTGTCCTGAAGACTGTCTGGCCAAAGGCAGCCAGCCACCTCCAACAGCAGCACAACAGCTGCCTGGTGCTGAGGCCAGATGCCAGGAGAGAGTATTTTACTGGTGGGAAATGCAGAAAGCCACTTGCTAAGCCATCTCCCATGAATGCGCCAGGCTCACTGGGCTCAGCTCAGGCTAAAGTCCTGTCAGGAACTTTGGAAAAGAGCCCGGGCTCTCATGCTGGCTCCTTCAGTTCAAAGGGCATCAGAAAATCCTCTCAGATACCCAGCATGGGTTATTCACTGGGCCCGGTCACCCCTGTCCAGGACAGCCAGCTGTTGAGCCAGCTGTTGGACTATGGTCAGCACAGCCTCTGGGGCACCGACTCTCATGGGAGCCCATCTGCTCTGGAGAGGTGTCCTCCAGAGCCCCTCAGCTTACACTGGGGAACCGTCAAACTGAGGTCGTCAGTCGTGAGACAGCAGCAGCACCATCCCCTGCCCCTGAGCCCTGCCAACATGGAGAGTCTGGCACTGCTGCCGGCTGGCAGGGATGGCCACAGCGACCTGCCAGCTGCAATGGATGGAGCACCCTTTGACTCGACTCAGATATCCTTTGGGGGCAGCTAGAGAGGTCCCTGGGGAATGTGGTCCCCTTGTCCTTTGGAGCCACAGCTTGGCACAGCCCCTGCTAGTCTCTGCAAGGCCAGGGTCCCTGCTGCTCCACAGGGGGCTAAAAGGGTGTGAGCAAGAATGAGGTCCTAAGCCATGCAGGGGCACTGCTGGTCCTCAGGGTTGGTTAGATGCTGTAGCGTAGCTGTGGGTCAGGAGCTACCAAGCCTGTTCTTAGGCTATACTAGTGGTCCTGTAATCCTACGCTATGAACAGGTGTCTCATGGAAACCTCTGTTCCCATTAGCCTGTACAGTGCCAGGGGAGCATTAGCTTCTTCAGGGATGTTGAAGGGAAAATCCAGTGGCTGCCCAGCCAGAAATGAATCCCCTGTGCCCTGCTGCCAGGTTGTGGGGAGGAGTTGCCATGGGCACTGGGTTATGTGTGTGTCAGGGCTGCTGCTCAGGGACACGCTGAGCTGGGGGGCTGCTGCGTGCAGGTTTTCCTTGACCCCAAGGCAGATGCAGGAGGCACTGACCCCTGGCCACCTGAAGAAGGCCAAGCTGATGTTTTTCTTCACTCGCTACCCCAGCTCCACTCTGCTGAAGACATACTTCCTCGATGTGCAGGTAAAATGGCAGTACCCTGGGCTGATGCCCCCATGCAGTGTGGCACTTAGCCTGCCTCACTGGGCAACCATGAGGAAGGCGCTACTCTCGTGTTTCCCTGCCTTGCTGGCAGGAGCCAGGGGCAGCACCCATTTCAGCATGGGCTGCCCTGGAGCAGGTGCTCAGGGCTGTGGCAGAACTGGGTTGCCAGGTCTTCACTCTGTGCCATTGAGGTGTTGGGATTAAAGCATATCATGAATGTGTCTTCCCACTTCAAGGCAGCTGAGATCCAAATCTCAGTGGGGACAGCACTGTGGACATCCCTGTGTTTTGGCAGGCCTGAGGCAGGGCTGGGATTGGGCCAGGCCAGAATTGTGTAGCTGGGTTTGTGGGGGCTCATGCGTAGGGAAGCTCCAAGCTGACATAACTCATCCTCCTTCTCTCCCTGGCAGTTCAGCCGCTGCATCACCTCCCAGCTCATCAAGTGGTTCAGCAACTTCCGTGAGTTTTACTACATCCAGGTGGAGAAGTTTGCCCGACGGGCCCTGCTAGAGGGTGTTGTGGATGCTTGCACCCTCCAGGTCTCCCGCGACTCAGAGCTTTTCCGTGCCCTTAACATGCACTATAACAAAGGGAACGACTTTGAGGTGAGGAGGGGGAGCTGGGGGATAGGGATGGTGGGGTTTGCGGGGGTAAGGAGGAGCCAGGAACATGGTGGTGCCATGGGCTGATGCCCATCTTGCTGCAGGTGCCAGGGCGGTTCCTGGAGGTGGCCAGTCTGACGCTGCAGGAGTTCTTCAGTGCTGTCAGGGCAGGCAAGGACGCCGACCCCTCCTGGAAGAAACCCATTTACAAAATAATTTCTAAACTGGACAGCGACATCCCGGAAGGGTTCAAAGCTGCTGGCTGCTCCCAGGAACTGCTCCGCAGCTGAGTCTCTGTGAAAGCAGCCCCAGATCCTCTGTGCAGCCATCATGTGTTTAGTACCTCATGGGCACTGTGCACAGCATACATTATTCAGAGTACTCTCTCTCTGACCTGTAAGACAGCTCCTTGCTTGAGGCCAGTCACTTGCCTCAAGAGCTGGGATTTTACGCTGTGTATTCTACTCCCCTGAGACCCCTGGTGGCCTAGTGGTTAGCGTGCAGGACTTTCACTGCTGCGACCACGGGTTCAAATCCCGGTCTCCTGGCCTGATGGAGGTCGTTAGCCCTGTGTGGCCATCCATCTATGAGAAGGACACTCTAAACAAACCTACGTCCTGAGGACCTCACTGCCATTGTCCAAGCTTGCTTGGCCCCGGCAGATGAACCTTAGGATTAAAGGGTGGGCTCAGCTCAGCGCAGGCTGTGTCTCACCTAAAAAATCCATTGCGCAGGCTGGAAAGGTAAAAGACCTTTCCCCAAATCTTCGTTCACGAAGATGGGCCATTATACTACTCCCCTGCTCAAAGCCAGTGGGGACCTGCAGAAGGAAGAGACAGAGATGAAGCCATCAGGTTGGAGCCTGGGAAGTTGCCCTCCCCCAGCTCTCCCCATGACCTTGGCTGAGCACCTTCCTTCTCTCCTCCAGAGGGCCACAGACCAGAGCAAACAGACCTGCTGTTTATAAAGCAGACAGATGTCCTAGTAGTGGGCAGAGTTTTCTTGGCGCAGCAGACTGGCGGATGAGCCTGGTCCAACAGCACAACTCAGTTTCTGTCCAGATACAACACACCAGTGTCCAAAGAAAACAGCTGGTGAATTCCAGCATTCCAAGCACCCCAAGGGGATAGCTGACTCTGTCTGGGAGATGTAAAACTAGTGTTTATTGTAGCCAGCACAAATAACATTCCCCCCTGCCTCTCCTGTGCTGTCTGACAGGACAGGAGTTTGACCCCCCTCAAACAAATGCGTTCTGTAGCCAAGCAGTTGAGTGTGTGCTGGTTGCAGGACTGACTGCTTCCCAGCAGTGTTATCCGTGATGCTGGAAGAGAGCAGGGTTCATGGCTGGCATCGCTCAGCACTGCAAACAGCCCCACATTAAACACTCACCTATGTCCCCTCACATCATGTTTCTGCAGGCAAAACTGCCCCAAGTATCTCTGCTTTGCAATGTGTCTGTGATGAAAGAGAAGCATGCTGTTTGGGACCCATCAGTCCCTATGGGTTTAATACAAACTGGGGAGCTGGGGCCTGAGATCTGCAGCCCCATTGCTGTAGTGAGTGTAAACCCAAGGAAGTTTCTTTACCCTGTGACCAGGACTCAGTGGCCACTTTTCCACGTGACAGAGCATGGCAAAGCATTTTCTGTTAAGGGCTCTCTAACCCTGACAGAGGTGGCAGTGGGGAGGGAAAGGCTGTGAAGAGGAGGGAGGTCCTGGGAGAGGCACAGCAGGGAGAGCAGCAATGTGTAACTGTGGATGAGGAACAACATACACATGCAAAACTCCCAGGGAGAAGACTGGGAGGAGGCCAAGATGATTTCGGGTGTGCTGCAGTGTCAGCTGTGTACTAGTGCGCAGCAAGTGACCCAGGAGAGGAAAATCACAGCTCCAGTATCAGAAGAGTGCATGGGGTGATCCGTAGGCAGGGCATCTGCAGGAGTAAGGAAGTGTGTGGTATCATCAGGGCATGATGAGAAGGCTCTGGAATAGGGGCAGTTTTACAGTGGTTCCCCCCATGGTGAGTGTGGCCACCCAGATTTCCTGCCTCTGTTTGTATGTTTATTTCTTAAAGTTTGTATAGTTTACAACATCAAATTTACTTGACTCATTTTTAAATAAACACATGGTGTAAATTACCCTTTTACATCCCTAGAGACCTTTTTGATGACTTCTATTCTAAAGCATTACACTGAGAATTTCTTGCTTTTTGTTGGGAAAAGACTAAGACTGCAGCAAAAGGGCTTAGTCAACCTGCTGGCATCTCTGTGGGGCCAAGCAGCCCCCACTAACCAACATTAGCTCCTTTAAACCCCAGTGCCTTGTGGTCATTCTGCTCTGAAGTGCAACTTGTTGGGAGGATCAGAAATGGGGGTTGGAGGCAGATGGAGCCATATCCCAAAGCTTAGGGGTGCCAGACTCAAATGTTCAACATCCACTAAGTGCTGCTGGTGCTGTTTGTGCAGGCAATAACTACCTCAGAGCTTAAGTAATGCATTGGGTAGGCAAAAACAACACTGCTGGAAAAGGAAATGATGGCCTGGCTCAGGGAAGGGTCAGTAAATTCATCTGGCCATATAATTAGGGAACGTAAGATACAGGTGTACTGGAGGCATCATGCTGACACAAAGCCACACTTTTACAAAGTCCGTGGGGGGAACAGTTTCATGCTTCCTCTGGTAACATGCAAGTTCATGAGTGTCAGTAAATCAGCAGGTGGGGGGCTAAGGCAGTGCCCCAAACCACAGAGTCATGCAGTGGCTGAGGTTGTAGGAGACCTCTGGAGATCATTTTGTCCAACCTCCTGCTCAAGCAGAGCCACTGAGAGCGGGTTGTCCATGACCATATCCAGACAGCTTTTGAGTATCTCTAAGGAGTGAGAGTCTACAACCTGATCATTAATGAAGACGTTCAGAGGATTGGACAAAGTATTTGCAGCAGTATTTTTGCTCCAGCGTTTGCCATATAACTGCGAAGAAGTGGGAACTAGAGAGATGTATATTATTCTAGCTTCTGCCTGTTTGGGGAGCCTGGGGTGCAGCTGCCTCCTCTGGGGCCAATTGTTTGCTTGGAGTCAGGGGGGTTGCACTCAGGCAGGCACAACTCTGCTGCACAATGCTAAAGTGCGGGAGCTGAATCACAGCCTTGTGCTCCCATGAGAGCCTTGGAAAGCAGCAGCCAGCTGGCAAAGAAGTTAAGAGGGGACTCAAACTGCCTTCCCTCAATCTAGGTCATAGAAGCACTGATACACAGAAGGCAGCACATCTGCTAGGAGGTGAGGGGAGCTGGGGTTATTCTGAGGGCAATGGAGCCTGAAGCATGAGGGAAATAGGGTGTGAATTCCACAATGCCCAGTCACTAGTGGGGTTCTCCGGGGCTCCATCTTAGGCCCAGTTCTCTTCAACATCTTCATTAACAATTTGGGCGCAGGATTCTAGGGCATACTAAGTTTGCATATGATGCTAAATTGGGAGAAGCTGTCAACTCCCTTGAGGGCAGAGAGGCCCTGTAGAGAAGCCTTGACAAATTAGAGAGATATGCAATCACCAACCACAGGAAGTTTAACAAAGGCAAGTGCTGGATTGTGCACCTGGGATAGGGCAACCCTGGCTGTGTGTATAGACCAGAGAACAAGAGGCTGGAGAGCAGTGCTGCAGAAAGGGACCCGGGCGTCCTGTTCAATGGCAAGCTGAATATGAGTCAGCAGTGCCCTGGCAGCTGGGAGGGCCAACCGTGTCCTGCGGTCATCAGGCAAAGCATCGCCAGCCAGCTGAGGGAGGAGATTGTCCTGCTCTGCTCTGCATTGATGCGGCCTCACCTTGAATATTGTGTGCAGTTTTGGGCACTGCAATATAAGAAAGACATTAAGTTGTTAGAGTGTCCAAAGGAGGGCAACAAGGACGATGAAGACTTTGGAGGTGAAGCCATGTGAGGAGTGGCTGAGGTCACTTGGTCTGTTCAGCCTGAAAAAGAGGAGACTGAGGGGAGACCTCATTGCAATCTGCAACTTCCTCATGAGCGGAAGTGGAGGGGCAGATACTGATCTCTTCACTCTTGTGACCAGCGACAGGACTCATGAAGCTGAGTCAGGGGAGGTTGAAGTTAGGTATTAGGAAAAGGTTTTTTACCCTTTGTAAAAGGGGTTTGGCACTGGAACAGGCTCCCCAGGGAAGTGGTCACAGCACCAAGCTTGTGTGAATTCAAGGAGCATTTGGACACTGTGACTACAGTTTTGACTCTCAGGCTTGGGTAGGCTCTTGCTTCACTATTTCCCACTAATTACCTGAGGAAGCAATTTGGGTAGTGCACTCACCCACTGCTGACTGAGTTTCATCTTTAAATAAAAAATCCTTTCCTTCCCTCTATCCAAATTTCTGTGGTATATGCAAAAAACCCACAGCCACCTGTAACTGTCTCCTCTGGGAACAATTCCTTGAGGCTATCCCTTTGCATTTCCAATAGCATTCATAACCCAACCACAGCAACGCACTCAGTCCATACAGCTGAACAGCACCAAAGGCTGCTAAACATTAAGAATTGCTGATTCCTGCTCCAGGCTGTGGCAGCCACAAGAGAGAGATTTGACCACACTGACTAAGCTGACAAGGGCCAAGAGCCCTTATGTACTCATCTATGTTAATATTTACCATGAGAGCCCTTATTACTCATGTGCAGCTAATCAGAGCATTAAGAAGTTCCTAGTGAATGTTCGCCCTGTGTGTCAAAATAGCTTTGGGGAAACTGACAAGCAATAAAATATACCTGGTTTTTGTTTTCCTCCTTTAATGACTTGGGCCGGTCTACAGTGACTGAACCAGCCCTAGAAGCTCCCAGCTTAAGTGAATGCTTTTGAAAGGGTCCTTCTCTCAAATACACATCTCAGATCCTTATTTGGCATGAGGGAAGCTCATGCTCCAGATAAGCATCCCTTGGTGAGCCTGCTCATGGAACATTGCTCAGCAAAATTTGCTGTCCTATTATATGCATCAGAGGGTCAGATTAATCCAGGTTACAGCACAATCACCACATTTGAGAGATCCGACATCACTTTTCATCTCAAGAAGACAGCCCTTCCTCTGCCTCTTGCGCAGAGCTGCCCTGTGCCGCAGCACCACTCCTGGGGAAGGTGATGCACAGAGAGACTGTGGAGATCGGTATCAAAGATAAAACAGGGTCCACCAGGGCAGACTGGTATCTCTAGCTGATAGCAAAAGCTTTTTCCCTTTGCACACCATGAAATACAGTATTAGCGTGAACCATGGAATGGGAACTGGGTCTGTGCCCAGTGCCAGCTTCACAGCAGCAGCTACATGAGCTGTTCTCCTTTGACTTAATGAAAAGCCCCGTTTTAGGGAGACAGTGGGAATGGAGCCATGCAGCCAGGGCTGCATCCTCTTTTTCGGGGTGCCCCAGC